TAACAGAAACTTTAGCTTCCAAAGAAAACCCCAAATGAGAGGAGATACTTTGGAGAGTTAGTATAGAGGCGGCAAGTCGGCCTTTGGAGCTCAAATCAAACGCGAAGGCGCGACACGGCAATGGCAAATTTGCCAAGACGGCGTACAACTTGACCACAGAGCGACTTTGAAGCAGGTCCGCAACAGTCCGAATGAGGCAATGGTTGTGTCCTCCTAGCGCGTTCGGTGACCAGGCAGCGGGGAAGGTTCCGCCGCTATTGCAGGCTTCATGTTCCCCTCTCGAGCCCGTCCAAAGAGACTGAACTACTTCTCCAAACGCTTTCAAGCCAAGTTTTGGTAAAAGACGAGCTCTCCTACTTATGCATCTGCTGTGAAACAGCTCAGCTGCGGATATCTTTGTGATAATTACAGAAGATACACTCGTTGGCATGTCTGCTAGGTGCTGTTTCTTGTGCGCCCCAACAGGTCAGCCTTTCATGGCCTCAGTGGAAACCTTTTCTTTTCATCTTTCGCCGCATCCGGAGACAGGGATATGAAAAGGATGGTAGGTCAGCCGATATCACTGGGTTCTTTGAGTGCTCGGTGTGCAAACACGGTTTGCCGGCTGCTTTCCCCAGTGCCCACCTATTTCGCCCTAACATGTCATCGCCACCTCCATTGCGCTACTCATACAGCCCTGGGAGAAGCGACAACCCACTTTCCGAGACCCAGAAAGTCGCGTTCCAGACCACGCCTCTACCAACGTTCAGATTTCAGGCGTAGGGCCTTGTGCAACCTTCTGGATCTCTGACCCCTGGGACAATCTACCCGATTCCGACCGCCTGGAGACTGGGTCCGCGTTCCGTGGCCATATGTTCCTGACGCAGCCACGTGAGACCAAATCGAAGGGACCATTCATCGTGACTTTCTCCGAAGTCGGCGCTGTGACAGGTTCCATTGGCACGACTCTGTTTGCTACCACCAAGTAAGAACTCGAATGAATACTATGGGAATAGGCGTATCAAGCATAGCGCGTTATCAAAATAAGTCGAATAACAATGTTACGTTGTAAGGTCACCGAAATGAAAATCGCCACCCTTCGACAGTCTTGCTCTGTTGATCATCTGAAGAGTCACTGGCATGTTGAGCGACAGAAGAGTTATCATTCAACACGAAGATTCTTTCTGGTTAGCCTCTAGCCCTTGACCCCTTGCAAGCTAGACCAAAAGTTCAGTCTGTTTCATAGCTTCCTACAGGTGGGAAAGATTGTCGGGTGAGGTCCCAGAGGCTGAGCCGACTCCCGGCAGGCAAAGCTACCATTGTGGCGTGGGCTTCCAGCAATCTCAAGCTAACGCAACGGCATGGTACACTACAGGTACATATATTGACCTGCTTCGGGGACCTACCTTGATCAGAGCACGTCCAATTTCGTGCGATTCAGTTGAGGCAGAGTTGGGATGAGGGCTCCGCAAGCGCTCTTTTTCATTAATGGAAGTTATGCATCATGCATCTAGACTAGTATGTGGATGCCCAGATTGTGACCTTCTAAGTTCATGACGCTTCGTAACTAAGATACTTATCGGCTTCGGGTTAGGCGCAGGAGCGGTAGAAGAAAGCAATTCTATTCGTTGAGTTCACCAGGCGCTGCTTCGGTGAGCTGAGCGGCAGATTGATTTCGCCCGTTTTTGCGCATGAAACACAGAAAGAGCGCCATGCTGTGCGTAAGACATGATGATTTGGTTAGCGGAGCAAAGGGAGCGAAAGAAACGCATCCCGTATCCGTGAGTGGACAAAACTGGGTGAGGGGAGGGAGGGGTGGCGAGTTAGAATTTGGATATGAGCAAGACGCGCACGAGTAGCACGGCCGGTGGGATATGTAGACAAGGCCTAGTGCGGACGCGGCCCGGAGTCGTGGTCACTAACGCCCGTAGGTCCGAGAGATCGGCGCAGGGGTTCAAAAGTTTTGTATTCCATTCCTTTTTCGGCGGAAATATCAGCTCAACGGTCTTCTTTCTTGCTCGTGTCTCAACTGTCAGCTGTCATATGACCACGGAACATGCATCATGAATAATGTTACACCATGAATTCCGCAAGGCGTCTACGGCATGGAACATTCAGAGACACTGCGTGCTCAGTTAATTGTTTCCCAGGAAAGAAAACGAAAGGTGAAACCACTAACATATTGTATTGTCTGCAGAGTCCTTCTGGAAAGTGCTGTGGCATGTTCCCAGTTCCCCCTTCATCCTCCCAACCAGAGTGACATGCCTGACCAGATTCGGCAAAAAATCATCCGTTAAGAGGCGGCTAGCTTAAAAGAAGAACAGCGCAAGGTCTCCGGCTCGTTCCATCCAATTAGAAGTCGGCATCAGAAGCTACCAACGCAAGTGCAATGCGAGACTGAACAGATCATTCCACCGTCATTCCTAGTATTAGACCCCTGTTTTCTAGAAGGCCGGACATTACAACCCAAGTCCAAGGGATGCCAGAACTACGCAACCAATGACCCCCATGACCACGAGCTCATCCCACTGAGCACCAAATGATCGAGACGCAGACGATGTAGTTACGGCAGGAGTCTTGCCAGAGCTCGAGGCGGTAGCTGCAGGCGAATTACCACTGGAGCCTCCGGGAGGGCTGACAGCAGGTGATTGACCTCCCGGGGCGTGACTGGCTGGAGGCTGGGCCGCGGGAGGACTGCCACCAGATTGAGTGGCAGCAGGCTGGCCAGCCGGACCGCTGGCTCCAGGGACCCGGCTGACGGTTTCCTGCGGAAGCTGAGTATTTGGCACCTCGTGGTGCTGCGTCGATGCAGGAGGAAATCCTTCCCCAGCTGTGATTGGAGGAATGGCGCAGTTTGAGTTCTCGCAGAGAGAGATTGTCTGCGGCGGTAGCAGGAGAGTGTTGGTGACCATGGAGAGTGTGACGGACACTCCGCACATCTCAAGGAATGGATCGACAACAGGGGGCGCAGCGAGCGCAACGGGAATGAGATGTAGAAAATGGTAAGACTTCATTTCGATAATTATGATCAATAATGCCTGAACAAAATGATGATGTTGTACAAATGGCTGATAAAATGGTCGACTGAACAGCTCTGGTTTACCGGACATGGGCATCTATATATCCTCATGGTTAACTGTGATTTTAGATAGATAATACTAGTAGTGCCATCATGTCTTTCCAGTAAACAGAACATGAATGTTTGACTTACGAGAGAAAACAGTGTGTCCAAAACTGAACCCGAGGAAACTAGCATCACTTCGTTAATGAGGAGGGGTTTCTTTCTTACTTTTTGCGCTTTTCTTGCTAGTGTGGATATTATGTGAGGCCATACTGCATGCAGACAGTGTTCAGGTGTCAAAACAGGCCAACGTGTAGAGTTTGCGACCTTCTCACTGGTAGTCTGTCCGCCTTGAGGAGTTGTCTTTGCTTCACTTTCCGAACTCCTCTATCGAATTTCTGGTTCTAGATAACAGCCTGGGCAATTCCACCCAAGAAAGAGCTACGTAAAGGATCGCGAGATCCACAGCAATGATTCTGCCTTACGAGTTTCGATGTTTGCAGGAGGTAAGCTCAACTGACTAGATCCTTGGCTAATCATCGCAATATGGGCCAAAAGAATCTAGGGCCGCTCAACTGAACTATCGACAAAGTTTGTCTGAACGTAAGCTCGAAGCAGCTGCCACTCAGAGCCAGATCTACGTCTCTTAGGTTTTAGTTGCAGAAATAGCTTCGCATTCAGCTCAGTAAGTAGATACGCAAGCAGAACCATTGGGCACTGAAGTCTAGGGATACTGGCTGATAACCTGAACAAGTCTATCTTTCGCAACAAACTCACAGCAAACCGCATGCCACATACGAGGACTCTACGTCTACTTGGCAAGACTACCTGGGTCTCCTCACATGGATGCATTTGTTTAGCCAGATTTCGGTCTGCATCTAGCACAGATCTCTCGGGTTTTGTCCTTTTCCACGGCTGCATTCGCTCGCCATGATCGAAGCGCAACTGAACTTTCAGTCCTCACAGACGCAATGGGCCATAGTCTGTTATCTCGTCAAGATAAATCGATATCTAGGACTTGCTCGAAGAAAGCTCTGTATGAAAACGGTACGAGATCGAGTGGAACGAATACGTGCTACCGTCTCGGCTTCCCGGGATACCTCTCTCCGCGGTGCTCGCCACGATGATGCTACCTATTTGCAGTTCAACCGTCAGGGGTTGACCTGTTTCCGGATCGAATCCGGGTCCCATTGAGGTTAGAAACGGAGACCACCGACTTTTACTCAGCTCGGGCAAGAAAGTTGACGAAGAGCTGTTTGCTCCTAGTCGTGTTCTGACAAAGAATCTTACGCCTTTCAGCATCTTGAAGTTGAAGGAAAATGTATTATAAGATCCTCTGATTTCTCGAGCAATGGTACACTGATTAACTAACAAGCATCTCACCAACTCTCTTTTCCAAAGTTTCTTCAAAGATCTACATCTGTACCCAGCCATCGTCACATGCATCGAGCGTCTCATACCAGGTGTCAATCAACATGAAACGAATTTCTGCCCTTGCCACTGCCATGAGCTTCGTGGCTCTTCTCCCATGGCCGGGCTTAGCAAGTGCGGACTGTCCAACCACTGGCCCTGGTGCGAGTCCTACGACCATTCAGCCCATGGAAATTGTTCATTGCATCCCGCTGCATCTCAGCACTTCAATTTCTCTGAACACTACATTCACTGTTATGGGCACTACGGTCAAAGTCACCAACGCTCCTACCTTGGTAACTTCTGACTTCTTGGCTACGACTACCGTCACCTATCTCTCTCCTGTGTAAGTACCCAACTTTGCACCAATTCAGACGTGTCTGACAAGTCATTTAATTCTTCTAGCAATTCTCAATCGTCCTACGCAGGTCCTTGCGTGACGGTCACGGCAGCACTGCCCCCTGGATCAAAGCCTTCTACTATTGTCATTCCCCCGCAAAGTGGACAGGCTACAGGAACCAAGTACATCTGCTCGCCGCTTGAGTCGAATATGCCATGGTTACCGGGCTCAGGTAATCCAGCCGCCGGCGGCAAGTCTCCATTCACAGGAAGCCTGACGACGGTCACCGCTCCCTATGCGGGCTCGGCTGTGACAACGTTGACGATCCCCCCTGCTGGAAGTGACCAGACAGGCACTGAGCTCGTCCTCAAGCCCACGCCCAATAACGGAGATGCCCCTTTCAATGGTCCCTGTACGACGATAACAGTTCCTGGAGCCGGTACAGCATTGACAACTTTGACCGTGCCTCCATCGGGAACTGATCGAACTGGCACTCAGATTATTTGTCTTCCCTCCGCTACAGGAGGTTTGATAACCAGCACGTCGACTGGCACCCAGCCTGGTCAGACAGGACTACTCACTCTTCCTCCCGGAAAGCCCGGCGATCCGACTACCATCGTCACGATTGTTCCCCCTGGTGGGCCGGTAACGTCTACGTCAACAGGAACTCAACCTGGCCAGACAGGCCTGATTACTCTTACTCCTGGAAAGCCCGGCGACCCAGTTACCATTGTCACAATTGTTCCACCTCCGTCAGGAGGATTGGTTACTTCTACATCGACCGGAACCCAGCCAGGTCAGACTGGGCTGTTGACTCTTACGCCCGGCAAGCCTGGAGATCCAACAACGGTTGTTACCATTGTTCCTCCTCCCTCCGGTAGTCCAGTAACTTCCACTTCGACTGGTACTCGCCCAGGTCAAACCGGATTACTGACTCTCATGCCCGGCAAGCCTGGAGATCCGATCACAATCGTTACTATCGTACCTCCTCCTACAGGAGGATTAGTAACATCTACGTCGACTGGTACTCGCCCAGGTCAAACCGGATTATTGACTCTCACGCCCGGCAAGCCTGGAGATCCCACAACGGTCGTTACCATTGTGCCGCCTCCTAGCGGCGGGCTGGTCACCTTGACTTCAACCGGCACTCAGCCAGGCCAAACTGGGCTTTTTACACTGCCGCCCGGCCGCCCTGGCGACCCAACAACAGTCATTACCATCGTGCCGCCTCCTACCGGTGGACTAGTCACGATTACTTCAACAGGAACCCAACCTGGACAAACTGGGCTTCTTACTCAGACGCCTGGTCGTCCTGGCGACCCGACGACAGTCATCACGATTGTTCCCCCTCCTACCGGTGGACTGGTCACGATTACTTCAACAGGAACCCAACCTGGTCAAACTGGTCTTCTCACTCAGACGCCTGGTCGTCCTGGTGATCCGACGACGATTGTGACCATCGTTCCCCCTCCCACTGGCGGAGTAACGACTGTCACATCTACTGGCACTCAGACTGGACTGACGACTCTAACACCCGGTCGACCCGGCGATCCAGCTACTGTCGTTACTTTTGTCCCAAGTCCCACTGGCGGCATCGTCACGGTCACTTCTACAGGGTCGACCACTGGACTCATTACTCAGACACCCGGACGACCCGGTGATCCAACTACAGTCGTGACCCTTGTGACGCCTCCCGCCGGTGGATTGACCACTATCACTTCCACAGGCTCGACAACTGGGTTAACCACTCTGACTCCTGGGAGGCCTGGAGATCCTACCACCATTCTGACCTTCGCTACGCCTCCCCCTGGTAGCATCGTTACAATCACATCCACTGGTTCAACAACTGGCTTAGTTACCCAGACTCCCGGAAGACCCGGTGATCCAACTACCGTCGTGACCCTTGTGACGCCTCCCGCCGGTGGATTGACCACTATCACTTCCACAGGCTCGACAACTGGGTTGATCACTCTGACGCCCGGACGGCCTGGAGATCCGACGACGGTCGTGACTATTGTTCCTTCTCCTCTAGGCAGTGTTATCACGGTTACTTCCACAATATCAACCACTGGCCTCATTACTCAGACACCCGGGCGCCCTGGTGACCCTACTACTATTGTAACTTTCGTTACGCCTCCTGCTGGGGGACTGACTACAGTTACCTCGACGGGATCGCAGACTGGTCTCACGACCCTGACGCCTGGAAGACCCGGAGATCCCACTACTGTAGTGACTATTGCGACTGGTCCTCCTCCTGTGACAGTCACCTCGACAGGCTCGACCACTGGTTTGACTACCCTCACACCCGGAAGGCCTGGAGACCCTACTACTGTCGTCACTTTCGTCACTGGTCCTCCTTACGTCACGGTCACTTCAACAGGCTCAACGACTGGTCTTACCACGCTGACGCCTGGACGGCCTGGAGATCCGACTACGGTCGTGACTATTGCTACTGGTCCTCCTCCTGTGACAGTCACCTCGACAGGCTCGACCACTGGTTTGACTACCCTCACACCCGGAAGGCCTGGAGACCCTACTACTGTCGTCACTTTCGTCACTGGTCCTCCTTACGTCACGGTCACTTCAACGGGCTCAACGACTGGTCTAACCACTTTGACTCCTGGAAGGCCTGGAGATCCGACTACGGTAGTAACAATCGCGACCGGCCCCCCTTTCGTGACGATCACGTCAACAGGCTCTTCAACTGGTTTGACTACCCTTACACCTGGAAGACCTGGAGACCCGACCACTATTGTCACAATCGCGACTGGCCCTCCTCCCGTTACATTAACCTCTACTGGCACAACTACAGGCCTCACCACGGTCCCAGGAGGTCCCGGAGGCCCGGCTACAGTCATCACGTTTGTTCTTCGTCAGGGGTTCTTGGTTACACTCACCTCTACCGCAACCACAACTGGACTCACGACGATTATCCCAACCGATCCAGTTGGCGGCACTACCAGCGTAATCACATTCGTCACCCCGCCAGCTCCGGTGACTCTCACGTCCACGGGCAGTACAACGGGGCTCACCACGATTCCTCCTGGTCCTAGCGGAGGTCCTTCAACTGTCATCACATTTGCGACATCTACAGCAAGCCCTATTCCTCCGGTGACCGTTACATCGACGGGGTCGACCACTGGCTTGACCACTGTTCCACCCGGACCCAGTGGTGGTCCCTCGATTGTTATTACTTTTGTGACCCCTCCGGCGAGTCCTCTTTCTCCCGTAACCGTCACATCAACGGCATCGACCACCGGTTTAACTACCCTCCCGCCCGGTCCCAGCGGTGGACCTTCGACCGTCGTTACTTTTGTAACCCCCTCGGCGAGTCCTCTTCCTCCTGTGACGGTTACATCAACAGCCTCAACCACTGGCTTGACAACTCTTTCACCCGGACCCAGTGGTGGTCCCTCGACGGTTGTTACCTTTGTGACCCCTCCAGCGACTCCTCTCTCTCCCGTGACCGTTACATCGACGGGGTCGACCACGGGCTTGACAACTCTACCTCCTGGACCAAGCGGTGGCCCGTCCACTGTGGTCACATTCGTCCCGCGTATTACTGGCTTCTTGGTAACTCTCACATCTACAGCCAGCCAGACAGGACTCACCACCATTGTCCCAACGGACCCGGCCGGCACTACGAGTATTATCACATTCGTTACGCCCAGCGCTCCCCTTACGCCAGTCACAGTCACATCAACGGCATCCACCACTGGCTTAACCACTCTTGCCCCTGGTCCCAGTGGCGGCCCTTCAACTGTCGTGACTTTTGTCACTTCCTCCACTCCTCTTGCGCCAGTTACTGTCACGTCAACGGCGTCAACCACCGGCCTGACAACCATTCCTCCCGGCCCTAGTGGTGGCCCTTCAACCGTCGTCACTTTTGTACAGCTTCCTACTGGCTTCATCACAACTGTGGTCTCTACCGGAACCCAGACCGGTGTGACAACTCTGCCTCAAACCAACCCAACCGGCACGACTACGGTTATCTCGTTCGTACCCCCGATTACAGGTGCGATCACAACTGTGGTCTCTACCGGAACCCAGACGGGCGTCACGACGCTTCCCCAGACCGACCCAGCTGGCACGACTACCGTCATCTCCTTCGTCACACCCTCTGCACCCCTTACGCCAGTCACCGTGACTTCAACCGGCAGTGCCACAGGCCTTACAACAGTTCCGCCGGGCCCAAGCGGTGGTCCCTCTACTGTGATTACTTTCGTAACGCCTACGAGCACAAGCACGAGCACAACTTCGGCAACGCCCACAGCAACCTGTAGTCCTGGGTTGAATTGGGCCTATTACGACTTTGCTCAGTCGCCGAGCAATACCTCTAGTTCCCCAGGACAGATACCTTTCCATGTTGTGTCGTCAGGAGATGCCTGGGCTTTCACGTACAACGATGTCCGAACGGTTCTCTCAGGTCAAACTCCTCAGAATACAGGAGTAACAAGACTTGTCGGTGTCCCGAACGGTGGCGACTGCACTGAGGCAACCGACCCCACACCGGTTGTGTATGGTACGACTGTGAATGGCGACTCGAGATACTGGTACATCCAACAGGCTGGTTATTTCCATCCGAGCCAGTCGGGCACCTACACGTTTGCATTCAGCACCGCAGATGAGGGTGGCTATGTTTGGGTGGGAGACAAAGCGGTTTCTACTTTTACGAACAGCAATGCCGACCTCATCCGGTACACGCAGCAATCCACCACTCCGACATTCTCGTTCACAGCCGTTGCCGGTGCATATTATCCCATCAGATTCCTCTACGTCAATGCACAGGGCTGTTACGGCAATGGGTTGACCATCACCAACCCCAGTGGGCAGGTTATTGTCTCGCGGACGGACCAGATCGCCAGTAACGAATTGGTCCCTGGAAGCTGTGGTGATGCCCCTGGCACCTTTCCCATTACACCTCCCTCGATGACAAGCCCTTCAAGCACGACATCGAGCCCGTCGACTACGCCCGCGCCCACCTCAACGGATTCCTCTAGTACTTCTAGCTCTTCCACTTCGACTTCGTCCACGACGTCATGCGTGGTTTCCTTGACGAGAACGGTCTCCGCAGGTGCTCCTGCAGGCGCGACGGCTACAGTGGCCGTTCCGTCCTGTGCCACAGTTATGCAATTCTCGGTTCTTGGAGGTGGCGGCGGTGGCAGTGCTGGCAAAGGTGCATTGATCTCTGGCTCCATACCAGTCACCCCAGGCCAATCTGTGTTCTTGGTCGCCGGCGGCGCAGGTACGAGAGTCGGTGCTGTTGGTGGTGCCGGTCAAAGTCAGTACGGCAACGGCGGATCTGCTTCCAACAATGGCGGTGGAGGCGGTGGCGCTTCAGCTCTCTATCTTGGTCAAGACTTGCTTGTAGTTGCTGGAGGAGGCGGAGGTGGTACCATTCCCGTTACCAACAACAATGCCTCGCCTTACACACTGAATTATAATGGTACCGGATCAGGTGATGCGGGTTCCAAGGGTAGGTCATACAGCATTACTCTAGCGAGTACTGGCGCCGTAACATCTACCTCTAATGGAGGAGGCCCGGGTACTCAGATCTCTCCTGGGGCTGGCGGTGTGTGGACGGGCTCAGGAACATTCGCCAACGGAAACGCTGGAAGTGGCTCTGTAGGTGCGAACGGTATTGCTGGGGCAGGCGCCTTTACTGATGGTTCTGGCGCCGGTGGCGGAGGCTATCGCGGCGGGGGCAGCGGAGCCACTGGCTACTACCAAGTAGATGCAACAATCCAGCGTATGCCGGCTGAAGGTGGTGGCGGCTCCAGCTTCGTGGACGCTTCGGTTGTGAACCCGACACAGGGCCTCGGCGCTTCCTCTACTCCTGGCAGGATTGTAGTTACTTTTGCATAGGTACTTACCTAACGAGACGTGTCCAGGTCAATGCCTAAGATAGATTACTATAACATGTCTCTTTTCACTTATTATTCGCTTGTCCGCATGAAATAGTCAGATTTTACGATGCTTGAAACTGTCTTGATTGGAATTGTGTTTCATTTTCCGGGCAGTACTGTTTGACAATTCCGTGAGCAGCTCACTTCTTGAATCAGAACTCGCTGCCACTCAGTCGCGCCATGATGATTTGATTTATCGCTCACAGCTCTAATCATGGACAATTCACAACATGACCAACCAACGTCGGTTTTGCTTGCGAAAGTCATTCCATGCATGCTCGGATATTTCAGTCGTCCAATATCAAATCGTGCTGCGTAGTAACAGCCTGTCAAATCATTTAGTGTTGTATTTGATGTTTAGACCTCCGGACTCAAATAAGACTTTCTGAGGTGTTTTGTCTGGCTTCAGCCAATCTTCAAACGGCAGAGCAGATCCCAATCAGCAATACGAGAGGGCCGGAGGTGGCAATGTTTTCGTCTTATATCTGACATCAGACCTTCGGGAGTGATAGCACAGCTTTCAGTCCGCCTGACATACGATATACGTTAAACTACAACGGACTCGGTTGAGGAAACGCCACTTCATAAGGATTATCTTAATACATCACCTTAGCCTGTAATAAGGTAGCAATACCCAAATGAAACAGCGGAGAACCGTATTATATCATTACACCCGGCGCCGGCGGCGTATGGACTGGCCTAAAAACAACCTCCGCGAACGGTAGCGCGGGAAGTAGAAGTACCGGCCTAATATATGGTAAGTACCCTTCAGGTGCAATGATATTCCAACCTTCATTTCTTATGGTTGCTTAATGTCAGTTATTAGGGGAGAAAGTTGTATGGGTAAAGACTTGAGTAAAGCTGTTTCCATGACATTGTGCCTGGGTGAGCCTTTTCTTAGCATCCATGTCCTCAGAAGTGCTAGTCACTTCAGGCTATGTTGGACACAGCACTTTTTAAGGTCGTCAAAACCACATAGAATATTTTGTGTGAAAAAAGGAGATAGCATTACTCAGTGTTTAACAATAAATAACTCGAGGGAGAAGCTGGACCTGAATCCTGAGTCTGTGGTAATACAATGAATGATCAGCACGGGTTACACCTGGGAATTCAAATACACACATTCTCACCTACGTTGTGCTTTTTTATTCCCCATTCCTCTGCCAAAAGTACGAGCATATGACAGTACAACATCTGCAATCATAAAGCCCCCACTATGACATCCAAAAGCCCCTGTAGCATCGCAATAGCACTCGAAGAGCATCACGTTTAGCCAGGGTAGCTTAATTAAGTGCCGGACTTCGACGCCGTGGCTCAGAATGTCTTGACGCGGCCGCCACACAACCGGGCAGAACACCATTTCAGCCAAGCCCTTCCGCAGCTTCCGCGGCGAAATTTTTTCATGATGAAGCCTGTTGTTATACCCGTGGGGTGAAGTGGATGTTTCCGGAGCTGGCTCCAGGCTTTCCTTTAACGGCCCCTCCGAGAGAGTCACTTGGCGGATCACTAGGTCCGGTTTGCATACTACCATCGTGGCAGCAATGCCATTATAATAATGAGAAATCCTCTTGCCAAATGCGCATATAGGCGCTCGGCAGAAGTTTGGAACGCAAAGTCTTCTGGCTATAATAATATTCACCATTCTCTCGCGCACCGGGCCATGCGGCGGACGAGCGGGATCCTGTATGTATGGTTGGCACGGACGCCCTTGAGAAGAAAAAGCAAACGAAAAAAAGCGCGAATGGTCGCCGCGAGCCGCTCTCTGTCGACCACGCACCGGGGTTCCTCGCCGTTACTTTTACACTAAACTAGCACCCGCAATGGGTCCCGCTGCAAGAAAACCGTTGAAAATTGTGCGTCATCGGCGAATTGCAATTAAAGAAATCGGCAAGCAACGTCTCGGGGGTTCTATTTTGATCATCGATCTCTATGAAATCTCTGTAAATTCTCCTCCGTGAAAGATTCAGGTGACTGACCGTCGGGTCTGACCCACGATATCCATAGTACAGGTGGACCGAGGAGAATAGAGGAACTTCGGCTGCTGTAGGCTGTGCTTGGCGCTAGCAGTGTTTTCCATCATCACCAGCGGAGGTAGCCCCGCGAGACTTTCCCACCGAGACATGTTGATTACCAGTTGTCTCTCGTGAACATTGACCCGATGGCCGATGGGAATATAATGTGTGGGTGTTGACGCGGGAAACATGAGATTACTCTAATCATGTCGTACATCGGCACAATGTCAGAATCCCAGAGTACTGCCTGCGACTTCGGCTGCGAGCATCTGGCGATGTGGTGATACAAGCCGTGTGGCTCTCTTCGCCCGAATTCTCACGAATGAACAAACTGACATTTCCCCATGGGTTATCGGATACAAATGCGAGTAAGACACAGGTTGCACTGGATTGAGTCCACTCCGGAACCCCAGCGATTCTCTCCAGGCCGCAATTTAGGAACCCCATAGGGAGTTCTGGGGGGTTGGAGCCTCTGTGAGGGGCTCGGAGGAGCAAATTAAATAGTGGCGAGTCAGGCGGTTGCATTGTGCTGCATCCAGTCCAGTTTTCTCGTATGATGGAGGAAACTCAGTCATTGTCAACCCGGCGTTGAACCCGCGATGTTATACAAGGGCGGTGAAGGTGACGTTCGTTTCGACATTGGGAATTGATGGTGTTGAATCCGCTCGGTTGCCAGAGTCAACTTTGCCGGACATGCTGAATCACAGACCCTGAATTATCTGCACCAGTCTTGACCAGAGCGCCATGTGAGGCATCAAATTGTAGTATTACGCTTTTGATAGCACTTGATCCACGTACTCTCTGAGCCCCCAGAGCCAAAAGGAGCCATCCGATTCCTGCTCTTGCATCTTTCAATGAGTAAAAAGAAAGGCATAAACATTTCCGTTTGTGTAGTTGCTGTACCCGTTTCTGTACCCGTTTCCCAGATAGACCACTTTCATGAAACTCCGTCTCATCCGTTCCCTAAATCAGCCCCTAGAACCCATTTCATTCTCCGTAAAAGCAATTAGGTCAAGATGCTAGTAGTATCTCGTGATGACATCATTTTTTGAACTCCAAATCGCCCGTAGTAAACCGCTCGAACTTGACTCTGTTGGGATCGACGCCTTGGTTAATCAGGAATTGCGACATCTCAACCATGAAAATCTCAGGACCGCAGATGTAGTACTCCGCACCACCGTGGCTGAGGTAGAGCTCTTCAGGTGCTATCCGCGCAAGGTCCATGCGGAGGCCAAAGTCGCTGGAAGAGGAAAGAGAGTCATCATCTTCGACATCGGCAATCTGGGAACGGAAGAACTTGGTGATAAAGTTGGCCCGGCTGTAGGCGATCTTGCGAATATGTTCTTCAAAGGGGGCTGCTCGGGCCGAGCAGTGAATCCATGAGATGGGACGGATAGCCTGGCGTTCGATGATGGTGTTGCATATGGACATTAGAGGCGTGACGCCAACACCAGCGGAGATGAGAACGACGGGAAGGGTGCCGGCGGCGTGGGTGTCAAAGAAGAAGTCTCCGGTAGGATGTGTCAGCTCGACGATGTCACCCGGTCTCTTCTCATCGATGAGATGGTTGGAGAAGACACCGGGGTTGAGGTTGAAGGTCGCGGCGCCCTTGCCGACCTTGACGCCTTGGTCCCGCTTAACGGTGATGCGGTAGTAATCCGGTCGTGGTGAGTCACTGAGCGAGTACTGTCGTGACTGGTAGTGGCCGAGCTCAGGAATGGTGACGCGGATCGAAGTGTATTGACCCGGGTAGAAGTCAGGTAACCGCTTGCCGTCGACAGGCACCATGTAGAAGGAGAAGATGTCGTCCGTTTCGGCAACCTTTCTTTCGATGCGGAACTTGCGCCATCCCTTCCACTTGTCGTCGTCGAATTCGCGATACATCTGGGCCTCGCGGCCGATGAGCATCTTTGCGAGGATCCAGTAGGCCTTTGTCCAGGCTTCGCGGATCTCCGGTGTCATGGCGGGACCCAGGACCTGTCCAAAGGCTTGGATGAGGTACTTTCCCACGATGTCATAGTGTTCCGGTAAAATACCAAGGGAGCAGTGCTTGTTGCACATGCGCTCCAGCTTGGGGATGAGCTCGCTGATGTGGTTGAGGTTTGCGGCGAAGGAGAGGATGACGCCGGTCAAGGCGCGGGGCTGGCGGCCGTTGGCCTGGTTGACCTTGTTGAAGTGGTCATGAAGTTCAGGATGAGCTCGTAGCATGTTGGCATAAAATATGGTCGTGATGGTCTCGCCATGCTCACGGAGAGCCGGGATCGTTCCCCTGACGAGTTGTGATTGCTTGTATGTCAAAGCCATGGCTGTGGTGGTTTTATATAAAGACTTTGTTGCTCAGCTTCTGCTTGAGAATTATGTTCTCTAGCCCTTGGCTGATGGCGGATAATTTGAAAGCCAAAAAAAGGCAAAACTGAGGTTCTCAAGCAGGTACTTCTCGTGCCCAGATATGGGATCAGGGATGGATATCTGGGGGTAGGCAGACTGGAACGGGGATGAATGTCAAAGGGGGTATCAACAGAAATGCACAAACGCTACGGATAAATGGGTAAACGTCTGAGTGATAGAAGGAGAGCCGAATCCAAGGGTTTGGGAACACAAATGCAGGTGATTTTCTCGCCGCTGGGTTCGGGCTTCGGAGGAAAGATATAGAAACTTTCAACTCCAGCCCAAGATGCCTTCGTGTAGAACCACTCCGACAGACACAAAGCTCAATCCTGTCTCACCCCTCCCCCCTCGTCGTGCTACATCGTCGCGTGCGCTCGAGTCTTCGCGGTCTGCATGCTTCGAATCAGGCACCGCCCGTCTCGACGGATAGACATCGTATGATTTGTATGCCGTAGTGTAAAAAGAAAGCTGGTTCCTCATTTGAACACGGCTCTCGTGGGCCACACATGCATGGATCCAAGGGTGAGAGGCCATGGAGAAAAACGCTGGGCGCTGTTGA